ACAGTTGAACATTTCTGTTTATCACTAGATGTTAGGCCCTATGAAGACAGAGGCTATAGAGCTGTTGACTTCAGTACTGTACCCGTCACTTGGCAGGATGCTGGGAGGAAATGAAGGCCCTGTGCACTCTGCCTGTGGACTTTCCACACACTCTGGACAAGGCTTTATTTAACTTCTCCAGACCCATTGCTGCAGCTGTAACAAGATGGTTATCAGATGGTTATCCATACCTTAGATGGTTATCAGAATTAGAGATATGCTTGGCAACACTGTGCACACAGCAGATGTGCAGTATTAATAAATATGTGCTGAAGGAATGCCTTAATGAAAATGCAAGGCAGAAGAAATATTTTATAGATGAGAAACTTGAAGCTCAGAAAGATGATTTACCTGTGTCAGGCAAACAGCTCTTAAAGAGTAAAGGTGGTTGCCTTTGTTTACTGCTAGGATAAAAAAAAAAAAAAAAAAAAAGAAAAAGAAAAAGAAAAGAAAAGAACTTCAGATCCTAGATTATTTTTTATTGTGTGCATGGCACTCACTCTAGCCTGGGCAACAAAGCGAGACTCTATACAAAAAAAAAAAAAAAAAAAAAAAAAAAAAAGAGTAAAGGTGGGCTTCAATCAGTCAATAGATGGTAAGTACCTTCCAAGTGCAGGAAATATTTTATCTCCTTTTTTATTTAAACAAACAAAAAAGCAACTCATATTTATTGTTTGTTTATAGAATAAGGAACTGTGTTTCATGCACATCCATAAATTATCTACTTGTATTTCCATATAAATCCCATAAAATGACTTGTTTTTTATGCATCATTCTCTTGTGGTATTTTCCTAAAGAGAAGATTTTAATTTTAAAATGAGAAAGGTCTATTTTTATAAAGTCCACTTGTGTTCTATGAATGGAAATAAATGCTTAAGCTTTTTTCTCATACAGCAGACACAGCCTGTCTGAATGAAGAATAAGTGCCAAGTTTGGAAATGAAGAGCAATCTAGGTAAAGATAGCCAATCAAAAAAAACCCATTCTCTTCTTTTTTCTGCTACTGGGTGAAGTGAAATCCTCTTGTTTCCCCTTATAGAATATTTTAGATCTAAAGACAGTTCTATCAAAAATAAAATGACATAATTTACGTTTAAAATCTTATACAAATGGATCATAGACATGATGTGAATTGCAATTTGATTATTTTCCCCACCAGGTATGCATTTCATTTTATAAAAACATAATTATAACTTATATATAATAAAGTACATAAATCATAAGTGTAAAGCTCAACATATTTTTATATATGTGTACATTGAAAAAAACTACACTCCCCAGATTAAGATAACAGAACAGGTAACCTGGCAGGTTCCTATATACCCTCGCTAGTTGATACCTGCCCTAAACTCTCAAAAGAATACTATGCTAACTCCCAGCCCCATACATTACTCCAGCGTGTTTCTGAATTCCACATAAATTCAACTGCAAAATATGAACTGTTCTGTGTCTGGCATCATTTGTGAACGTTATGGGAAATTCAGTTCTGTGGCTGTGTGTGGCAATAGTTTGTTCTCTTTTTATTGTTGTGCAGTATTCCATTGTATGACTATTGGTCCATTTTGATGTTAATGGGGAAATAGCTTATTTCCAGTTCCTAGCTACCACAAATACATGCTGTGAACATTTTTTTTACATGTAGGCATGTGCACTCAACTCTCTTAGGCACACGTCAGAAAAGCAACTGCGGGATCACAGGTAGAAGGCACATTCCCACCAGGAGCAGATGGTAGCTCTGGTTAGTGCACGGCCTGGGAAGGCCCTGCTTGAGGTTCTGGGGACACAGCAATAAACAGCTCAGTCAGTCTCTACTCTCCCATTGGTATCACCCTAGGAAACTTCAAACTTGAGGCTTTCAACTCAAAGTCCTTTACCCTTTGACTATCCTATGCTGCCTCCGCATATGTAATCTGGTATGAGGGGAAACAGGAGGGCTGTGGCCTCACTCAGTGGCAGAGATGGGAACAGCAGCTGTTTTCTGATGGGCAGCCTCTTGCCACTGCTCTCTGGGTCCCCATCACAGCATTGATCTTCTGACTGACTGGATGAAGGAGAAGAAACCTCAAATATTTCTTTCCTTTCCCAGAACACAAAGTAGGATTTACACAGACACAACTTTCTCATTTTTAAGTTAAAATCTTGTTTTTAGCACAGTACATTAGAACATTACTGTGCAAACGGTAATAAAAAGAAACAAGTCACAAAGTTACTCTATTTTTAAGCAAAACTCAATAGGAAAGAAAGCCTTCTTAATATTTGAGGTTCTAATCAACCCTACTAGCACTCTCTGGCAAATTGGTCCATCTGCAAGATAGGTTTTATAGCTGTGGATTCAGAGG